AAGAAACAGAAGATGGAAGAGTCTAATCCAGGCAATCAGGATCATGGACTGTGAAACGTGGCATGAATTATTGATGTCAAATACACAGAAAATTAAAGGGAGCAAGATCTGATTACCTACAGTCAGAATATAAGATAAATGAAAGGAACATATTCAGCATATTTAACATGTGTGAGAGAACACGAGAAGACCTAAGAAATAAGAGATGTTATGAAAATCAGTATGGGGGGCGGGGGACAAAATTCAGGAAAAAAAGTGACCAAGTGACCTTATTTGATGCAGACTTTCAACATCTAGCACAGTCTCTCTCAAACATGGCAATTTGAAGATGTGTGGACTTCAACTCCCAGAATTCCTCATGCAGCTCGGCTGGCTGGTGAATTCTGGGAGTTGAAATCCACACTTTGAAGAAGTTGAGAAACACTCATTTAGCAAGTAAAGACAAGGGAAGGTATCTCAAGTCGCGAATGTCAAAAAACAAGGAAAACGAGATATATTTTTTTTTCAAAGATCAGAAAAATAGGAAAATGTGCACCAATCAATATCGGAGAGGTGCCAAGTTCCCTCAAAGTGCTCCAGAACATGCAAATTTTACACTTTTAAGAAAGGAGATGGAGGAAAGCATTGCACATTAGCAAATCATTGCATTAATTTTTCACACAAGCCAAGTTGTGCTTAAGAGAGAGAGAGAGAGAGAGAGAGAGAGAGAGAGAGAGAGAGAGAGAATGGAATCACACATTTAGAGAAACACTAAATGGCCAGGGCAGAAAAAAACAGAAGGATACTGGGAACAGATAATTAAAGAAACATGGGTAATAAGATAGCTCAAGTGTTTCTCAGCCTTGGCAACTTTTAAGATATGTAGAATTCAGCTCCCAGAACTCTGAAGTTGAAGGAGGAGTTGAAGCCTGCATATCTTAAAATTGCTAAGGGTAAGAAATGCTGAAAAGGATAAAGTAAGCTGGATAATGGAGAGAGCAAAAGCCTTGAAGGTGATTCCTCTTCAACTTCTTGATTGCATCAAGGCCTTTGAGTATGTAAAGCGTGCCAAAATGTGGGATATAAAATGGAGTCCCAGAACATCTGGTTATGCTTCTGAGGAATCTTTACAAGGAAAAAGGAACTACTACTATTAAGAACCGAGTTTGGAGAAACGAAGTGTTTGGAATAAGGGACAACGGACCGAATAGTAGTGTCTCCTTGTTTATTCTGTTCGGAGGATACAAGTAGCCCTCAACTTACAACAATTTGGCCCACAATTTCCGTTGCTAAGCGAGACATTTGTTAAGTGCGCTTTGCCCGTTTTACGACCTTCCTTGCCCCATTTGTTAAGTGAATCAGTGCAGTTGTTAAGTGAGTCACCCAGTTGTTAAGTGAATCCAGCTGCCCCGTTGCTTGCTTGTCAGGAAGTTGCAAAAGAGGATCACGTGACCCAGGGGGACGCTGCGACTGTCATAAAATAGGAGCCAGTTGCCAAGCCTCTGGACTTTGATCGTGTGACCGTGGGGATGGTCCTAAGTGTGAAAGACAATCGTAGGTCACTTTTTTCAGTGCTGTCGTCACATCGAATGATCCCTAAACTAATTGTCAAGGTCTCCCTGTATTGGAGAAGTAAACATTCATCTCACAGGAAGTCAATAACAAACCTGTGTGAAGGATACTTCTGTCGCAACAGGGATCTAAAAAGATAAAGCAAGGGTTTGGCCAGTGGCTATGGAAAAAGTAAATATTTCACTTGTCCAGTTTTGTCCAGCTCTAGAGAATGGTGCTCATCTCCATGACTTACCTGAGGGAGACAGGATTGTCCAAAAACATTTTCACAGCCGTATGACCAGCATGACTATATTCAGAGGCACACAGAACGCTGATGCTGAGCTTGTCAGCTGGAAAGCTGACAATCCAGATTTGAGACCCAAACTCTATGCGACAGGATGAGCTCCTGTTACTTCCCTCAGCTCCAGGTCACTTAGCAGTTCAAAAGCATGCAAATGCAAGTAGATAAACTTCAGTGGCTGTGGAAGCTGGTTGTCAAAAAAAAAAAAAAAAAAAGTTGGATATTTGAAGTTGAATTGTAGATTTTGAAACCCAGGTAGGCCTCAACATGACTGTGATGGAGTCTGCCCATTACAGTTGTAAGGCGTTTTAACGGTTGTAAAACATGAGCAACCTGATTTTACGAGCATTGCAGCAGTTGTTAAAACAAATGCTGTGGTCATTAAGCGGATCCGTGGTTCGTAAAGGGCTCCTTGCCAAAAAACTGGACGCCGACAAAACCGTTAAAAAGCATGATCATGTGACTGCAGGACGTTGCAAATGCATATTAAAGTGGCCCTGTTACTGGGCATCCGGAGTTCGGTCGGATGACTGCAAAGGGGGCCTGACCGTCAGAACTTTGAGTATTAGGTCATAAGTTCCATCATAACTTTGAGTAACTGCTAAGCAAGCAGTTGTAGTGAGGGACTACCTGTACTTAGTAGAACCACTTTTAATGCAAGTTTTACAAGGACTGCAAATAGTATCAATCAATCAGTCCTCATGGCTTGGGCCCAGAGTATCTGAGGGACTGTGTCTTGCCGTCACATCCATCCGACCCACTAGAGCAGGGAGACAAGGAATGTTGCTGGTCCCATCCCCTAAGGGAGGTACATCTGACAGGACCCAGACAAAGGGCCTTCTCCGTGGTGGCTCCCTTCCTTTGTAATGTCATCCCTTCAGAAATTAGACTGGCCTCCACTTTGACACTCTTTCATAAGGCCCTGAACACCTGGCTTTGCCAAGGGGCCTGGGGAACCCAGAGTGGGATGGAGCCCACCAAAGGGCTTATTTGACTTGTGTTGTCGCCAGGGGAGGGGGTTATTGTCTTTTTATTTGTACTGGTTTTTTTTTTAATTTTAATTTTTTATATTTTTTTCTATACTGTGTTTTTATTGTTTGCCAGCCTTCTAGAGTCGCTGTGAGCTAATAGGCAGGTATATAAATTTTCTAAATAAATAATATAAAATAATAAAATATAATTACATAAAAAAATAAAATAAAAAATAAAAAGCCGGAGACCGTGAGTTTTAATTCCACCATAGCCGTGATTGGCAGCTGGATGATTTTGGGCCAGCCCCCCTCTCTCAGCCCAACTCACCTCACAGTGTTGTTGCTCTGAGGAAAAATAAGAGGAGGAAGGTGCGTTGAATATATTCACCACCTTGAATTATTTGGAAAAATGATTCAAGTGAGGGGCGCAAAATAAGTAAGTAAAACAAGTTAAATAAATAACAAAGAGTTCAAGCAAGGAAAGGCGGAACATAAGAACGATAAGAATCACAACAGGCTTTACACGTATACAAACCAGCAAAATGGCCGAAGGATTTTTAAGCCTGATTCGCTGCCGAGCTGCTTCTAGCACCGTCCGCGATGTGAGTCCTTTTCGTATTCCAATATACAGCAGAACAGACAAGTCATTCTTTGCATCAGACGGGTTTAATGACTCCCTGAATTGAATATTAGCAGGGACAGGCGCGGGGGGGGGGGAGAGCACTTCTTTCCCAGCATTTACAAGGTGGATTTGAGAACAATTGTAAAACACCACAGTTAGTGTTCAAACTCTTCCTCCCCCCCCCCAAAAAAACCAGGAAATCTTTCCCAGACACACACACACACACACACACACACACACACACGTACGTCTTTGGTTATTCGGGTTTTCTCCCGTGTCAAATTGGAAGTGTCTTGGTGACATTTCGACGAAGTCTCATTCATCATCTTCAGGCTGGTGTTTTCAGCTTCGTGCTTCTAGGAGCACGAAGCCGAAAACAGCAGCCTGAAGATGACGAATGAGACTTCGTCGAAACGTCGCCAAGACACTTCCAATTTGACGTGGGAGAAAACCCGAATAACTAAAGACCTACATACACACACACACACACACACACACACACACACACACACACATATATAATGTTGGCTTCTAGAGGTTTCTGAAGTACAACCCGGTCAGTAAAATCCACTATGGCCAATGGTTAAGGTCTGAAGGGCTGCAGGTTGGTCAGCAGCAATCCAAAGATTATTGACTTCTGGATTCTTCTTATCAGCAGCAGCATCCCAGATGCTGAACTTTGACCAAGAAAGAGATTGGAAAAACCCCACCAGCAATGACAGTGGAACAAAAAGGGACAGATTAGAGCAGGGATTTCCAAACTTGGCCACTGGAAGGCTCGTGGACTTCAACTCCCAGAATTCCTCAGCCAGCATGGCTGGCTGAGGAATTCTGGGAGTTGAAGTCCACAAGTCTCCCAGTGGCCACATTTGGAGACCCCTGTGTTGGACAGAACAAGCTACCATAACCCTTTTATCTGGCAAGCCTCAAGCCACCAGTGTCCCAACCAACATTAGTAACAGGAGACATTCTCTGGTGGCTTGAAAGCCGTCAGAAGGAGCAGGACCCTAAGTGACGTGTCTGCGACAGGCCTAGCTTGGATCTATGTGGAGTCAGTATATGGCCAAAGCAGCACCCCAAAAGTTTGCCCAAAACAGGTTATTTGTCAGAGGCCGAAAGGAACCGACTCCAAAGCAGCTTCAGGAGAAAAAAACAAACCCTTTTCCCCTCAGAAACAAGATGGGAGCCACGTCGCTCAGCTCCGAAGGACCAGACTTTTTTCAGCAAGACCTACGCGCAACAAAGCACCAACCCTAAGAGGCCTAAGAACGCTTAATCCGTTAACAGAGATTTCTCTTTATCGACAAATGCTTTGTGAGGTAGGTGAGCATTTTCCCGTTTTATGCAAAGAGAAGAAGAAGGGGGGAAAAAAGGGCTCCGTGATTTGGGATGACACCCCGTTTGTACTTGAGGGTGTGGAACTAACCCCGACTTCGAAAAGATTTTCCTTTCAGGAAAGTTCTTTTCTCTGGGGTTAATTTCTCTAGTTTAGGGTTAGGGTTAAAGGACAATTTGGCTAATGTCAGTAGCATCTTCTCTATCCTGGCTTATCCTACTAGCCTATCTTGGTCTGTCTCTTCTGCTTTTACAGCTGATTTTCGGACTCAACGGACCATTTCCCACGGACCCATGCAAATACAGGAAGTTCAAGAGATCTTTTTTTGAAGAAGAACTCAAAAATGGTTGGAATCCTAACTGTTAAGGTTGATTTGGGAGTTGGACTGCTTACCTGGCCATTAGTAGATATCCCCACCCTCGTGTGCACACACACCCCCCATGTGGAAAGACTTTAAATAGTATACAGGTCTCTGGTTTATCCAGCCGTGGTTTCCTTCCGTCTCACCCGTGGTGTCTGCCAGGAACATTAAATATACAACGAAATAAGCCACAGGATTGTCAGCCAGCCGAGAGTTCGGATCCCACATGCATGGGCCATGCACACGGTTATGTCCTTGCTCTTCTGCCACCTCCTTCGGCCAAGGTGGTTGCTTGGGGCCTCCCTTCTTCTGAGAAAGAGAGCGAGGCTCGTCTTTCTTTCTGACGCAGGCCGCCAGGTCAGTTTTGCTCCCCTTCGGACGACTCTTCCTCAGCTTCCTGAAGCCACTGGATGAACTTCTGAAGCTGCAAAAGAGGACCAGCATGAGTGACGATCAACGTGCAGCGATGGGGATTCCTGGGAAGAACCACCTGAAACTTCTTGGCAATAAACAGGTGGAACAAGGGGGGAAAATTGGCGGATTTGGCCTTAAAAATTCTTTTCGTAGGTTACTGTGCTTCGGATATTAGATTTCAACTACAGGTAGTCCTTGACTTACAGCCATTCGTTTAGTGACCGCTCAGTTACAACGGGAAAAAATGTTTTATGTCAGTTACACTGAAAAAAGTGTTTAGAACCATTTTTCACCCTTATGACCGTTGCAGCACCCCCACGGTGATGTGATCCACATCCAGATGCTTGGCAACTGGTTCGTATTTATGACCATTGCAGTGTCCCGGGGTCATGTGATCCCCTTTTGCGACCCTTTTGACACACAAAGTCAGTGGGGAAGACAGAATCACTTAACTGTGTTGCTAACTGCAGTGATTCACTTAACCACGGTGGCAAGAAAAGTCAAGTGAGGCAAAACTCACTTAAAAATCTCTCACTTAGAACAGAAATTTTGGGCTCAATTGTGATCCTAAGTCGAGGACTATCAGTATAAGAACGTGGCCCATGTGGCTCCTGGATTTTGTATTATTGTGCTAGGCCAGGGGTAGGAAACCTTGGCTCTTTTATGACTCGTGGACTTCAACTCCCAGAATTCCTGAGCCAGCCATGCTGAGGGGAAAGGGAGAGGTTTCCAAGCTGAGCCATGCTGGCTCAGGAATTCTGGGAGTTGAAGTCCACAAATCACGAAGGGGCCATAGTTCCCCCATACTGGCTCAGGAATTCTGGGGGTTGAAGTCCACGAGTCATAAAAGAGCCAAGGTTGCCTACCCCTGTGCTAGGCCATGAGTTGTTTCACTATAATTTACTGAAACCACTATTGGCTGCTTTTGCCTTATGATGATCAATAGGGCTGACATATGGTGCTAAGGGCATGAATTTAACCAGAGTTTGTTAAATCAGAGCAAGCCCCAAACAAAAACAATTTTGGCTTAATGTTAACAGGTTTACCGAATTGCAAACTGTTCCTTTGTCAAGTACTGTACACACTTTCCAGAAATCTGGCTAAAAGATCTTTCCCTCATGCTTAGAATACTGCAACATCCTCTATGTGGGGCTGCCTTCGAAGACTACTCAGAAGCTGCCGATGGGACAAATTGCGGTGATTTGGGTACTAGCGGTTTAAGCATCTCAAATGCAGAATTGGTGCTGGGTCTAATTCAGGGGTAGGCAACCTTGGCTCTTTTATGACTTGTGGACTTCAACTCCCAGAATTCCTGATCCAGCCAAGCTGAGGGGAAAGGGAGAGGTTTCCAAGCTGAGCCATGCTGGCTCAGGAATTCTGGGAGTTAAAGTCCACAAGTCATAAAAGAGCCAAAAGAGCCCCTGGTCTAATTGAAACTATTGGTTTTAAAGCCCTGCCTGCCACTGTTCTGGGACATTTTAGGGAATCATCTGTCCTGTCACCCAAATGACTATTTCTGAGGTGGCCGTGACACTCTGCACCTGCTTGCCATTGAGGTGTATCTATTTTCCTAGGGGTTTTGATTTTCTGTAAGGCAGTAAGCACAATTCTGTTAAATGGGGTTTTTTTAAAGCCCAATGGTGATAATTGTGTCTGCTTTTGTTTGGATTTTATGCTGTTTGCATTCTGTTTATGGCTATTTTTAATGTTAGTTGTTCTACTGTTCTGTTTTAATGTTTATAAACTACCTGGCATCTTGGCATGAAGTATGAATACGGGTGATGGACAGATATGGCTCACAACACCTTGATCCTCACCACTGATGATAACTCACCCGCTGGTTTTTACGAAGCTGTCTGCCTTTATCTGAGGTGTCCCCTTCAGAAAACCAGGCCAGAATCATCTCTTCTTCTAAGATTTCCAGTTGATAGAACATCATCAGGACCTGCAAGGACCACAGGAGAACATCATCAGGACCTGCAAGGACCACAGGAGAAGCTGGGATTGCATGAGGGGCTATGCATGGTCAGGAATGGAGGCAAGGAAGAAGTAAAGAGCCGTACGGAAAAGAAAAGCCTACAATTAAGACTTTCTTGATTTTTCTTGAAGGCGTTTCACTTCTCCTCCAAGAAGCTCCTTCAGTTCTAACTTTCTCTGCAAGAAAACTCAAGAAAGGCCGGTTGCCTTTTCGAAAGCAGCTTTGGGACAATCCTGACACGGATGACTGAGAACTTCCACAGATACAGAAAAAGAAACTCCACGCAAACAACTTTTAGTATCTTACCGTTGATGGAACTTACAAGTTGTTAAAAACAAACCCCACAAAGGCTAATCAGAGGCACAATACCAAAAAACAATGTGTGTGTGTGTGTGTGTAGTACTTGACTTACAACAGTTCATTTAGTGACCATTCAAAGCTGCAGTGGCACTGAAAAAAGGGACTGAAGACCATTTTTTCACACTTAACCACCACTGCAGCATCCCCATAGCCACGTGATCAGAATTTGGACGCTTGGCAACTGACTCATATTTATGACGGTTGTAACGTCCTGGGGTCATGTGAGCCCCTATTGTGATATGGTTTCCCCTCTAAACTGGTATTTTGTGTATGTGTAAGTTATAAAGATAGAGGCATCTTCCTTAGCTTCTATATCTTATATGTATGTATGTATGCATGTATGTATGTATACATACACACATACGGGATATGGGAATATAGGATATCTATATATATTGATATATATCAGTAAACCGTGTTTCCCCGAAAATCAGGCCTACACCAACAATAAGCCCTAGCTTGATTTTTGGGGGTGGGCCTAATATAAGCCCTATCCCCAAAAATAAGCCCTAGTTTTGGGGCGAGGCACATACCTAAAAACCAAGCTAGGGCAGGGGGTGGGGGGGGTGGAGCTGCCCCACCCACCTCAGACCCTCTAACCTTGCAGCCAGGCCTCCCCTTGCCGGCCCCCTTCTTCTTCTGAGGCCTCTTCTGCAGCCAGGCCTGCATTTCTCAGTCACGGGGCTTTCCGGAAGGCCTCTGCAGCCAAGAACTGAGCTATGGCTTCTATCTATAGCTCAATTCTGCAGGACCTCAGCAGCTGAGCACTGAGCTATGGATTGAACCCATAGCTCGGTACTCGGCTGCTTAGGCCTTCTGGAAAGGCCTGACTGAAAAATGCAGGCCCGAATACAGCTGCAAAACTTCGGTTCCAGAAGAAGTGGACCGGCTGGGTGGGGCTGTGGGTGCCGGAGGTGAAGTAAGGCCTATTCTGAAAATAAGACCCGGTGCCTCTTTTGGAGGCAAAAAGAAAAATAAGACCCAGTCTTATCTTCGGGGAATATATAACTTATATTCTCAGATCCTGTTTGCCTTCCAAATACATGCTTCTGATGTTGATTCCCTTTTCCCCTCTCTTGTCTATATCGTTCTATTAAATAAAGCTGCCTTTTATATACGGTCCTCGACTTACAAGAGTTCATTTAGTGACCGTTCAGCACTGAAAAATATGGTTTATGACCATTTTTCACACTTGTGGCATTCCCCATGGTCACGTGATCAAAATTCAGAGGCTTGGCAACTGGTTCACATTTATGACCGCGGGGTCACATGATCCCCTTTTGCGACCTTCTGACAAGCAAAGTCAATGGGGGAAAGGGGATTCACTTAACAATTGGGTTACTGACTAATCAACTGCAGTGATTCACTTAACAACTGTGGCAAGGAAATGGGGGAAAACTCACTTAACAGCAGAAATGTTGGGCTTGCTTGCGGTCATAAGTGGAGGACGACCTCTGCATAACAGGGACCTTTCAGGGACTGGCAAATAGGTCCTGAAAACCCAACTTTGGTGAGAAGACCATAGGACCTCCCCATGGATTTAAAAGTCAGAAGGAAATCTAGTTCAACTATCAGGTCATCATTATTCAGCCTAGGACAGTGATGGCGAACCTTTTAGAGACCGAGTGCCCAAACTGCAACCCAAAAGCCACTTATGCATCATCGGGTGCCGGGTGGGCGTGGCCCATTGGGTGAGTGTGGCCCATGGGGGGCGTGGCTGCGGTGGTAACAGCAGACTGGGTGGGACTAAAAAATTCAATCAATCAATTCCAACTTTGCAAGATTTTTTTCCCCCCGTGAGAAGTTGAAATTGACTGATTGATTGAACCTTTTTTTTTGCACACGGCGGCAGAGGCCTAAAGCGAAAAGGTTTTATAAAACCCAGCTGAAGGCCTAGGACTGGGGTGACGGCGCGCGTGCCCACAGAGAGGGCTCTGAGTGCCGTCCCTGGCACCCGTGCCATACTTTCGCCACCACTGGCCTAGGATCAACGTCCAGCCCGCCTGTCAAGAGCCATGGAAGCTTACTTTGGCCAAAGCCATGGTCAGGTTCTCGTGTTCCAAGAAGAACTCTTCGATGGCATGCAAAGCATCCAAGTGATCTGACGTCCGCTTGATGTAGTTCTTGAAGAGCGGAGCCCAATTCTTCAGCAGCTGGGAGGAGAGAGAGTTGAGCAAAGAGAACTGAATGCTAAAAAAAAGGGGAGTCCCGTAAATGAATGCATAGAACTGGATGTCGTTAATAGCTCTTTCACCCAAAAGAATGACAAAGAAACATTACATGGCAAAAACATACAATTTCCTGCTTTTTATAAGGCAGTGTTTCCCAAACTTGACAATTTTAAGGCATGTGGACTTCAACTCCCAGAATTCCACAGCCAGCAACAAAATGAACATTGTTCTGTGATTATTATTATTATTTTTTTAAAAAAAATACAGTTTTAATGAAGAAATCTGTAACAAGATTAAAAACAACTGAAATGTTACCAGAGAATCAAAGAAAAATAAAAGAGGAGTAAGGAAGAAAATAGAAAAGGAAATTTTTCTCTTTTTCTGTTCTGCAAGTTTGTTTTTATCCCAACCCTAGTTCCCTTTTTCATGTCCTCAACTTACAGCTTAGTTGGCAGTTTGATTTTCACAGACCTTCGAATCTCTTCCCTTTATATATACAGGGAGTCCTCGACTTACGACCACAATAGAGCCCAAAGTTTCTGTCGTTAGGTTAGGCATTTGTTAAGTGAGTTTTGCCCCATTTTACAACTTTTCTCTGCAGTGAATCACCGCAGTGGATAAGTTAGTAACACGGTTGTAAAGTGAATCACTTTCCCTCATTGATTCTGCTTGTCAAAAAGTCGCCAAAGGTGATAGCCTGACCCTGGGGCAGAGCAACGGTCGTTAAGCATGAAGCAGTTGCCAAGCATCTGAATTTTGATCACACGATCATGGGGCTGCTACCAAGGTGGTAAGTGTGAAAAGTGGTCGTAAGTCACTTTTTTTCAGTGCCGTTGTAACTTTGAACGGTCACTAAACGAACTGCCGTAAGTCGAGGACCGCCTGTGTATTTCTGCCACCCATTGGAAGAGGGTAAGGGGATTCTTTATAAACAGATGGATAGAAATATAGAAAACGGAGGGCAGAAAAAGGCGCACCGAGTCTGCCCTTTGAGGTTTTCGCTTGTTGTTTTCTTTTTTTAATATGTTCTATGATTATTTTTAATTATTACGGTCTGTTGTGCAGTCAACCAGACGTTCAGACCAGATTTGGCATTTATGTCTGTTTATTGAACCCAAGGATCTGGGAGGGGCAGATGGGAATGTCTGAGGGCGTTAAAGCTATGGCTGCAGAATCAAGGCAAGGAGGAGGGATGCTCACAGGGGCTACCAGGGTGCTGTATTGCTGAGGGTCCTTTTCTGCTTTCATCTGCTGTAGGGGGAATTCCAGCACAACCTTGCTGAGCATCGCCATCACCTCTTTCAGGCCGATGTTATAGGCATATCTATAAAGGGAAGGAGAAATGTTAACAGACACTTGGAATGCTGCATCGTTTTGGTCACCACGATGTAAAAAAGATGTGGAGACTCTAGAACAGTGGTTCTTAACCTGTGGGTCGGGACCCCATTTAGGGTCGAACGACCATTTCACGGGGGTCGCCAAACAACGCAGTCCACCATTCCCCCCCCCTTTTTTCCTTAGCTGTGCTACTCCCTTTTATTCTGTTGGCTTTTGAAAGCCAATAGAATAGACTCTCTTGAATAGAGTCTAACTCTATTGGCTTTCAAAAGCCAATAGGAATTGTCCAGACTGTCTCTGCCCTGCTGAGCCCGCCAAAAGTCCCATTCTGCAAACGGTGCTGCACCAGTTGAGTAGTCCTCGACTTATGACCGGTTGGGGGTCGCGGCATTAAAAAGGTTGCGAACCACTGCTCTAGAAAGAGTACAGAGAAGAGCAACAAAGATGATTAGGGGATTGGAGGCTAAAACATATAAGGAACGGCTGCTGGGATTGGGTATGTTTAGTTTAATGAAGAGAAGGACGAGGGGGGACATGATAGCTGTCTTCCAATATCTCAGGGGCTGCCCCAAAGAAGAGGGAGTCAAGCTATTTTCCAAAGCGCCTGAAGGTAGGACAAGAAGCAACGGATGGGAACTACTCAAGAAGAGAAGCAACCTAGAAATAAGGAGAAACTTCCTGACAGTGAGAACAATTAACTAGTGGAACAACCTGCCTCCAAAAACGGTGAATGCTCCAACACTGGAAGTTTTTAAGAAGAGACTGGACAGCCATTTGTCTGAAATGGTATAGGGTTTCCTGCCTGAGCAGGGGGTTGGACTAGCTGATCTCCAAGGTTCCTTCCAACTCTGTTATTCTATTCTGTTCTGTTCTGTCGTGTCCTATCCTATCCGTGATATTTAAATATGATATGTTTATATGTTTTATCTGTCTGATGATCTACAGCTCTTTTAAAATGCTGAACATGAATGATCTCCAAAGAAGCCCACATTCAAGAGCAGGATTAAACATTTAAACTGACTAGACAAATGCATGTCCACAAGTCATGAAGGGGCCACAGTTCCCCCATGCTGGCTAAGGAATTCTGGGAGTTGAAGTCCACGAGTCATGAAGGGACCATAATTCACCCATGCTGACTGAGGAATTCTGGGAGTTGAAGTCCGCGAGTCATGAAGGGACCATAATTCACCCATGCTGACTGAGGAATTCTGGGAGTTGAAGTCCAGAAGTCATGAAGGGGCCATAGTTCTCCCATGCTGGCTCAGGAATTCTGGGAGTTGAAGTCCACGAGTCACATAAGAGCCAGGGTTGCCTATCCCTGATCTATACACAAGAGGTCTAAGCACATGTCAGACTCTGGACGGGGAGTCTTGGGGCTCCCGCTTTCTCCTAAAGTCACAAAAACCTGACCACAAATGTCTTACTTGAGAGAGTTGATCTCCAGAACCAGGTTGTCGCAAGAGATTTTCTCTTCTTCTCCTCTCTGCAGAGTCCCCAAGACCTCGTTCTGGAAAACTGGAATCAAGAGCAGATTAGAAGCTGAGCACTCCGGTGGAAGAAGAGCTGGTAGAGGCAACCTTGGGCAGCCATCCTCAAACCCAGAACGCTTCAAGTCCTTCTTTTTCCTCACACTCAGTTCAGTTTCCGCTTTAACGTCAGGCAGAAAATGTGCATTTAGAGCCAACCTAAGAAAACCCAATTACCTTTGACATCATCCATCTGAGGAGAAGCGGTCCGGCTGTCCATCGGCTCAGACCCAAAGCTTGTGTCGCTTTCAGATTCGGCTTCTTCTTCTTCAGTCTTTACGGTGAGGCCTAGTGAAGATGGGAGGGAAGGACCTTCTAAAGCAGTGTTTCTCAACCTTGACAATTTTAAGGCATGTGGACTTCAACTCCCAGAATTCCACAGCCAGCTTACTAGCTTAACAACGACAACGATTTGCTTAACAGCTGCGGCAAGAAAGGTTGCAAAATGGGGCAAAACTCGCTTAACAACTGCTTTGCTTAGCAAAAAAAAATTCTGGCTTCAATTGTGGTTGTAAGGTCTTTCAGGTCTACAACTGCCTGCATTGAAACTGGCTAGATCCCGCACTGAGCAGAGATGGGAGTAGAACTTCTAAATCGGATAACTGACAGATAGTCAGCACTATCTGTCAAGCCCGTGCACAATCTTATTGCGCTGAGATAACCCAGGAGTAAACACAGTAAACAGTGGTCTGTATTCGATGGTGGTTTATCTTACACTATCTACAATATTGTATAGCAGGAACAACATACATACACGTGCTAATGCAGCAGGATCCAACAAACCACAATTACAGCAGGAAATGGAAGAAGAAAGAACACATCAGCAGAGCCTTCCCTTTATACAAATGCTCTTAAAGAGACACAGACCCTGCTGAGTCATTCCCATCATTACATCTTACCTCTTACATTACACAAGCGGGTTAGATTTTAAATCGTTACCTTGACACTATCCCCAGCCCTGTAAAGACAACTGCCGCAATAGTTTTCTTGACAATTCTCATCACTTACAAGAATCGCAGAGGAGCATGGGACAGACAACGTGCCGTTCTCTACTGCCTGCTGAATCCCATTTTTCTATCTCCCCAGTTCGCTTACCCCAGAGACTTTGTCTTTGTTCCTCTTGGTCTGCATCGTTTTCATTGGCTGCTTTCCAAAGGTAACCTCTGCCTTCCAAGCCAACCTCTTCTGGGTTGTAGCCTAAAGTAGAAAATCAAGGTTGGCTTGATTATCAACCCAAAGGACACAACTAAACAAAAAGAAACGGTTGAGTTGATAGTGCAATAAGATTGTTCCCCCAAAAAAGTCTACCTCAAAAGGAGAATATTTGTACCTCAAGGCTGAAATGAGGGGTCCTTGGTGCTCTCTTGAGCTTGGGTTGTTTTCTTGAAGACATTACCTAGTTTGGACAATGAAACATCTGCAGGAAAACAGCCAAACTCTGAGAGCACCCCGGACACCTCCAGTCTACCTCATTAGCTAGTTTTTCTAATCCTAGCACCAAGTTGGGAAGAGCTACAATGGAAGATGGTGGATAAGGAACAGCAGTCTTACGCCCTCATCCCTTCTAGCCTAAGTAAGGATGCTTTTTGCTTCAAATACTGTTTGGCTTAAGACAGGTATGTCAAACTCGCGACGCCACGGAACCTTTTCCCCATTGCCGGCAATGGGGCGGGGGCAGTTTCCTTGTGACGCATCCGGCCCACGGGCCGGCAGTTTGACACCCCTGGTTTAGGAGGAAGTGACAGAAATCATATACAGTAGTGGCCAAAATTGTGGAAACCTTTTGGGAAAAGTGTATTTTTTGAGGTTTGATGGCTAATAACACCACTTTGGGGGGGGGGTAGTACCATAAAGTTATATGTCAATGGAAAGATAATTTAATCAAGAATGTAATGCAACAAAGCTTGTTCAATTATCTGTACTGTAGTCTATGAAAAGTTATAGCCAACTAACCAGAAAAAGGAAGCATAACTTGCTTAGGTTGATATCAGGTAGCTTTTTTTCATCTGATTGTAGCCAATGAGCATGAGTGTTTAGAGAGCCAATTGGGTGTCATCTTGTTTTGGCAATGAGCCAATCAGATCACAGTAGGATTTGGTTATTGATGTCGTGTATTGAAGCTGAGAGGAGGACATCGGTCAGTGTGTTATGTGATGGCTATCAAGTTGGTTGGGGGGTTTTTTGTGTTCTTTCATTTAGTGAGCTTGTAAAACGTAATAAAATTAAAGTAATGCTGCAAAGAATTGACGGGTCGCCCAGAAAGCGATGTAAAATAGTATTATTAAGTGAAGAAGGCTACAGTTATAAAACAATTAGAAGAAAAATGGGTGGAAACTTAACCCAAAGTGGCATTTCTACTGTACACGTTTCCCAAAAGGTTTCCACAATTTTGGCCACTACTGTATAATGAACTAAGCATTATATTTCTATCTTCACCCCATGAACAAACACAAACATCTTGTGAGGTTAACTGCTTCAGTAGCAGCATCTGGAAATATTAAGCAGAGAACCCACATGGTATCCCGGTAAAGTATAGGGCTAGGATCCAGGAGACCAAGATGGTCTGGTCTGATCTTGACCATCTCTCTGCCTAACGTACCTTGCAAAATTGATGATGCGTGGGAAAATAGGAGCTAGCGCTGATGGTGTGTTGGAGTTGTAGCCCCCTCCTCGCCCCCTCCTTGCCCTTTCTTTGCCCTTTCTAGAGGAAACGTCTGCGGCAAAGCTCGCTAGCTCGTAACACAAATGGCAAACCGCATGACAGTTAAACAGGATGTTATGCAGAACTAAGCTCGAGAAGGCACTAACCACATGGTTTTGTTTTGTGTAGCCAGGTGGGCAATATAGGTCAAACATGACATGTACTCTTGACATGCTCTGAGACTAAGTAATGGGAGTGGTTTTAAGCTTATGGCGCAGCAAGAAATTATATGTATGGCACAAATGTATCACATGTAATCAATGCTTATTTGCATACTGTAATCAATAAAGTAGTTCCCGGACTTCGGTTCGGGGCAGTCCCACCCCAAGAAAGCCTCTGTGTCAGGAGTCTTCTTTAGTGTCAGTTCGTGGGATCTGCCCCACGTATGGGGGGATAGCAAAAGTGGAATCCCCTCAGGTGGTGACCCCGACGTGATTCGACCCGCAAGTCGAGTGTATGTCCTGTTGCAACTCTCAGGGCCGGTCGTCGCAGAACGAAGCACCCTCCTAGACGTGTATGTCTTGTTGCAACTCTCAGGGCCGGTCGTCGCAGAACGAAGCACCCTCCTAGACATCTCTTGGTACCCTCATACTTCACTCGGCAGGACGCCTACTGCAATTCAGGGCCGGTCGTCGTGGAACGAAGTACCCTCCTAAAACTCGTGAGTATGGGGGCAGAATTCTCTAAGCCTCAGGTTGCGCACCTCCACGAACTTAGGGAATTGACCAAGACCCGACTTAATAATGGAAAAATCTGGCCGTTCCCACCAAGTCAGACCTGGTCAGTCTGCTAAAATATGTTTATCAACAATGCCCAACCTACCCTGAAGAGGGGTCACTCAAACAATCTGTGTGGGTTAAATTAGGAAAGTATTTTCATGAATGATCAGGATGTGTAAAACTGTGACTATTAATTATTTCAAATCTAAAGGAAAAAGAATTTTAAAGTTTGCTAGAAATTCTGCTTAAAATAAGCCACAAAAAGGAAATACCTCATTCTGTTTGTCTAGCCAACAAACAGAGTGAAGAAAAAGAATTGTATTTGTTTGTTTGTTTGTTTTTCTTTCTCTCTGTGTACGCTCAAGAACAGCCTTAAGTTACCAGGAGGGATTATTTTAAATTTATCTGTTGGAAAAGTTTCACTTGCATTTACTGTATGTATTTCATCTATCCTTTTTCTGAAAAATGTGTGTCTGTGTGGGGAAATAATTTTCCTAAGTTACTTTTCATATCCTAAAACTTACTGGTGAAACTACTATGAAACTTTTCTGAAACAAATAAGCATTTTCTAATCTCTAAAATGATGTGGTCTATTTTAGAATAAATGTTCTCCTACCCTTGACAAGTTCTACACCTTAAAATATTAGGCTTTTAAAACTATTTGGAGTTTTCAGCATTTTCAAACTGTCTGCAAGCTACCCCCCTTTCAATTCTTTTCCTGTCCTTTGTTCTCCATACCTTTTGTCTGCCTCTCCTGGTAGAGTCCACCCAGAAAGGGGGGGGGGGAGACCCTGTTCTTGTATCTTTCAGCCCTGAAACCCTCTCCCAAGCCTTTGGAAGCAGAACACACAGACCCAGATGCTGCCTCCATCCATTTGAGCCATGGAATTGAGTTTTGAATCCAGCCATCCACTAAAAAGCCACCATGCAATCTGAGTGGAACATTTTCCCAAGTCCTACCATTTCCCCAGATGCCTGTGAGAGCTGCAGAAGGAAGGTGGTGCCATGTAAAGCCTCAAAAGAGAAAATTAAGACTGTGGGGGGAGGGTGGAAACTCATTGTAAACTTTTTTTTTCTTGCCCCATTTGTATTGTAACAAGCCAGTTGAATGTATTAATAGAGAGATGGCACTCGGGAATATGTGGCAGAACAAGTACTGAACACCTTGAACTTCTATCTGGTGGGAGGGAAAATTGATCCAGAATGTTTGTATTGACTATTTTGTAAAAGTAGCTGCACATACATGCACACACACACACCATTCAGGATTACACTTAAGTTTATCTCCTCCACCTATCTTTAGTAAAGTTCCTCAGGCTGATTTTTGCTCTATTGCACCAAAGCTTTGTGGGACCAACTTTCAACAGATAACAAGGGGGAGGGAACTAGGCCCCCTCAGGTGATTTGCAATTCATATGCCCTGACTAAGGAGGCAACAGGAAAAATCCCAAACTTCAGCCCTGAATATCTTGCACTGGTGAGCTCAGATTGGGATTCCTAGACCTCATTATGTGCAATTTAAAGAAAATTTAATAGACTGGCATATTGGACATTACAAACCTGGATGCACTGAATTAAGAGCTAAGGCAGGAAACAACCCTTGAAATTGGGCAGCCAGTGGTCATGTATTAAGGAAAACCATGGCTGTGGAGACTTTTGGGAGGTATGCAAACCTGACTGGAAGCTAAAGGTGACATCCAACATTTGAAAATGATTGGCACAGAATATTGGATACTATAAATTTCTTTTCCACCTAACAAAATTTTGCCCTAACTTTTAGAACTTTATAGATGCCACTAAAGGGATCTTTTTCTGCTGCCTCCATTAATGTTTTAATTTTCTTTCCTTTTTTTGCTTAATAGTTTAAAAGCTTGCCTACCAAGTCTCTCTGACCAGATCAATTTTAATGTCATACATTTACACACTTAAGGCACAAAGTGGGGATATTGATGGAAGTTAGCCCCCCCTGAAGGAAATATTAAAAAGGAGCAGAAAAATATATTTTCCTCAAAAGGACCATACACCTGGTTAGGTACAAGAAACTGCCAACCATGGACATACCGGACCCTTTAGCCATAACCCTTAGCAGTAAAGAAGATGATTTTTCCTTTAATTAGAAAAAGACAGGGGAGATGTTGGAGTTGTAGCCCCCTCCTCGCCCCCTCCTTGCCCTTTCTTTGCCCTTTCTAGAGGAAACGTCTGCGGCAAAGCTCGCTAGCTCGTAACACAAATGGCAAACCGCATGACAGTTAAACAGGATGTTATGCAGAACTAAGCTCGAGAAGGCACTAACCACATGGTTTTGTTTTGTGTCGCCAGGTGGGCAATATAGGTCAAACATGACATGTACTCTTGACATGCTCTGAGACTAAGTAATGGGAGTGGTTTTAAGCTTATGGCGCAGCAAGAAATTATATGTATGGCACAAATGTATCACATGTAATCAATGCTTATTTGCATACTGTAATCAATAAAGTAGTTCCCGGACTTCGGTTCGGGGCAGTCCCACCCCAAGAAAACCTCCGTGTCAGGAGCCTTCTTCCGTGTATTCAGCCATTCGTGGGATCTGCCCCACGTATGGGGGGATAGCAAAAGTACAATCCCCTCAATGGTGTTACTTAGTTTCGTAAAGAAACGTCTGCAAGAAACGTCAGGGGCTGCCATAAAGAAGAGGGAATCAAGCTATTTTCCAAAGCACCTGGAAGCAGGACAAGAAGCAACGGGTGGAAACTAATCAAGGAGAGAAGCAACCTAGAACTAAGGAGAAACTTCCTGACAGTGAGAACAATTAATCAGTGGAACAGCCTGCCTTCAGAAGCAGTGAATGCTCCAACACTGGAGGTTTTTAAGAAGAGACTGGACAGCCATTCGTCATCATCTCCTTCCCACCTACTCGCTCAAAGCAGAATCTTTCTCCAGCTGCTTATTCCTTAGCAGTTATTAATCCTTATCCTTACTCCTTAGCAGGCTCCCAAGGGAAAAAGGCGGAAGAGAATAACAAAATAACAGAGTTGGAAGGGACCTTGGAGGTCTTCTAGTCCAACCCCCCCCTGCTCAAGCAGGAGACCCATGTCAGACAAGGGGCTGTCCAATCTCTTCCAGTGTCGGAGCACCCACCACTTCTGGACGCAGGTCGTTCCACTGATTAATTGCTTTCACTGTCAGGAAATGTCTCCTTAGTTCTAGGTTGCTTCTCTCTTTGATTACCGTATATGCCGGCGTATAAGGCGACTTCTGCAAGCGTTAAAATTGACGCCAAAGACCGGGGTCGTCTTATACGCCGAGTCGTCTTATAGGCCAGAAATACTGGTAGTTTCCGGCGTATAAGACGACGTTCTAGGAATGCGACTCAGCGCCAAAGACGGGGGTCGTCTTATACGCCGGGTCACCTTGTACCCCAGCATTTACGGTAGTTCCCATCCGTTGCTTCTTGTCCTGCCTTCGTGTGCTTTGGAGAACAGGTTGACCGCTTCTTTTGGGGCAGCCCCTCAAATATTGGAAGACTGCTAGCCTGTCACCCCTAGAAAACCCTGCAGGAGGACAGTCTCACGCTCCAATAAATCCCCCGGACCAGTTTTTCCCGTACCTTTTGGCTTCACTTTGCTCTCCTCCTTGTTCACATCCGCATCGTCGCTGAATTCATCCTCGTCGTACTCTTCTTCATCTGCAGGATGCAGGGAGATGACTGTGCCTTCTGGGAAGACCTTCTTAGGCCCCACCACCACCTACAAACAAGCAACGTTTCCACATTTACTTCCGCCAGGAAGTAAAAAGGCTTGCAGATTTCCAGCTTCCCATTCACTCAACTGGGGGTGGGGAGGAACCCAGGTCCCCAAGAAAGCAGCAAGAGAATTTATTTATTATTTTATTTTTTATTTTTTAAATTTATAAACCGCCCCACTCCCGCAGGACTCCGGGCGACTAACAATAAAAACAACATATAACATGACAAAACAAACAATACATTAACATTCATCCAGGGGTCAGATTTTATAAACCCCAGGCCTGCCGGAAAAGCCAGGTCTTAAGCAGCTTGTGGAAAACCAACAGGGTGGGAGCGGTCCTAATCTCCGGGGGGAGCTGGTTCCAAGACGTGGGCGCCATCACAGAGAAAGCCCTCCCCCGCGGCCCCGCCAAATGGCACTGCTTGGCCGAAAGGACCTGAAGGAGGCCCAGCCTCTGGGATCTAACCGGACAAATTGGCTGTGAGGTCAAGCTTCTATCCACATCTCATTCTGAGCGCCTCTTCCTTGCTGAGCAAGCAAGACAGGGTGCCGTGTTTCATGATAAAACAATTTAGAGAAGGATGGGAGCAGCCTGTAATCTCAAGGACCTTCTGTAGCTGCCGGTAGGAGAGGAGGGGTCAAACACGTCATCAGTCTCGAGTCCCTGCGTGCCCACAAGAGATCTAAATCCAGCCCGCCTTGACTTCCTTTGACTCTTATCTCCCGCCAATTTGTTTTGACTGTTAGTAGTTCAGATTCTTCTAGAGAGCTTCAGCCTACAATAAACCTATGTATTCATTTGAACTGTCTATAGCAGTGATGGCAAACCTTTTAGAGACCGAGTGGCCAAACTGCAACCCAAAACCCACTTATTTATCACTGGGTGCCAGGTGGGTGTGGCCCATTGGAGGGGCATGGGTGTGGTCATGGCAGACTGGGTGGGTGTGGTCAAGGTGGGCGTGGTCACCTCGATGTTGCTCATGGGGAGGGATGCCTGTGGGGGCTGGGAAGGGTTGGGGGAGATCCAGGGGGTCTCTGGCAGGTGAGGCGGTGGGCAGGAAACTCGTCCTGCAGGGTGAGGCAAGGCAAGGCAGGGCAGGAGTGCCATTGCCGCAGGGCAAGGCGGGCTAGGGGCCGGGGCGGCTGCTGCCTGACACCATCGGCCCACACACACAGAGGCCAGTGAGCGCATGAGGGCCAACAGTGTCCATCAGCAGCCACAGCCTGCCAGTCTCTCGACCGGTGCACTCTGGGGCTCCGCAGCCTGCCCCCAGCAGTTCAGAGAAGCATAGATGCAGTGGGTCGTGCCCGGAAAAAGGAGAGCATGCGAGGCCCGGAGGGATGGGACAGGGGGGAGGGAAACCAGCCATGCTGAGATGCATCCGGCCATGTGGGACTTCGGCAAGTTAGCAGGCAGCTGATTTTAGAGGGACGGTTGCCATCTCCAGGGCATGGCGCGTGTGCCCACAGAGAGGGCTCTGAGTGCCGCCTCTGGCACGCGTGCCATGGCTTCACCACCACTGGTCTATAGAGTCCTTATTTCCTGCACTTGACCACCACCTACCCACCCCAATTTAAGAGGGCATTCAAGGTTTTGTAGGGGAGTTTTTACAAACTGTCAGCCCCCAGATGAACACGGACACTGCTTTTTGAACTACCAATGGATTCAAAGACGACCAAGGAAGGGACAGGGCAAATGGTGGGCGACATTTAATCTGTCCCAAGATGTTTTGATTTCTCACCTTTGACAACCCCCCCCCCTCCATTTACAGACTTCGCAACTAATTCTAAGATGTGTGGACTTCTACTTCCAGAATTCCTTAGCCACCAGTTTAGGCGTTAAAAGTCCGTACAACTTAAGAATTGCCAAGATGAAGAAGTGTTGCTGTTTCAGAACTAAAAGGGGCGTTGTCTTACCTGAACGCCTTTTCTCAGCAGGATGATGTAGAGTCCAATGAATGGGTTCTATGACGGCCTTCCTGCCTGGCAGACTGGGTAAAAACTTCGGCCACACCTCTTCCTCTGCGTGTGACCCCAGTTTTGACTTAGGCGAGAAACTTTGTTGACATTAACCTTGCAGCTCTTTATTATATATTTATTATATCCCTGCCTAGACCTATCCCCTGGGTGGGCTTGGACTCTACATCATCCTGCTGAGAAAAGGCGTTCAGGTAAGACAACGCCCCTTCTCCAGCAGGATGGCTGTAGAGTCCAATGAATGGGACATACCAAAGCCCTCATGTCCCCCTGGGAGGGAATGTCTAGGCTACCGAACTCTGAGCAGATACGACTTGTTGAAGAACTCTTCTGCCAAAAGCCGCGTCTGCTGCCGCTAGGGAGTCTAAACGGTAATGCCGAATGAAAACCGAAGGTGAAGACCAGGTTGCGGCCTTGCAAATCTCTTCTACCGGTGCTTGCGTTAGCCACGCCGCAGATGTGGCCGCACTCCGAGTTGAGTGGGCAGTCACATGAGTGGGTGCTGGCAAATCCTGCGATGCGTAGGCATGCGCTATGCAGGCTCTGATCCACCTGCCTATGGTGGAAGAAGACACCTTCTTTCCCATAGTTGATGGTTGAAAAGACACAAATAATGCTTCAGTCTTTCGGAAAGCCGAGGTGCGTTTCACGTAGAAACACAGCGCTCTCCGCACGTCCAGCTTGTGCCACCTGTGTTCTAGCCTATGTTTGGGTCTTGGACAGAAATCAGGAAGTGTCAGTTCCTGAGATCTGTGAAAGATGCTATTTACCTTCGGAATGAAGGCCGGGTCTGGTCTAAGAACGACCCTGTCTTTGAAGAAGGTACACAGATCCTTCCTTACTGACAGTGCTGCTAGTTCTGAGATTCTCCTTGCTGAAGTGATTGCCACAAGGAAAGCTACCTTCATTGATAGGTGATGGAGGGAACATGATTCAAGAGGTTCGAAGGGTGCTGATGTTAAGGCTAGAAGGACCTTAGGCAGGTTCCAAGACGGGTACCTGTGTATGACAGGGGGTTTTGTGTTAGTTGCCCCTTTTAAAAAGGCATTAACCGCTGGATGATGCGCTAGGGAGGTTAAGTTGTCGCAGGAGAGTACGGTTGAGAGGGCCGATATCTGCCTGCGGATGGTGTTGACTGATAGGCCCTTATTAAGACCCTCCAAGAGGTAATCTAGGATATTAGGGATAGATACTGCGGTCGGGTCTAGGCGAAAGGAAGCGCACCACCTACAAAACCCTTTCCATGTAGCGTCGTAAATCCTGTTAGTGGACGCTCTTCGTGATGCCTGTATGATCGATATCACGCCTGCCGAATAAGATTGTTTGGTTAAGCTTTGCCGCTCAAATGCCAAGCGGCTAGTTGTAGCCACTGGGGTTCTGGATGCACAAGCTTGCCCTGACTGAGTTTTACCCTGTCCGGGGGAATCCTCCACGGAGGTGAGATCGAGAGGTCTAAGAGGTCGGCAAACCACGGGCGCCGTGGCCAGTGAGGGGCAATGCAGACTATCTCTGCGCCTTCCAGAATCAGCTTGCGTATGGTCGCTGGTATTAAGGGCAGCGGTGGGAAGGCGTACAGGAGTTGCGCCGGCCACTGACACCTGAGAGCATCCGTTCCCTCTGATCCCGGGGACGGGAATCTGGAGAAGAACCTGGGGAGTTGTGTGTTCTTGTGATTGGCAAATAGATCTAGATGTGGTTGTCCGAATCTCCGGGAGATCTCCTCGAACAGAGCCGGATCCAGACGCCATTCCGACTGGTCCACCCTGGCTCTGCTCAGGGAGTCTGCCTGGGTGTTTGTCTCTCCTGAGATGTGTTCCGCTCTGATGGAACTCACATTGGTTTCTGCCCACCGAGCCAGAGCCAATGCCTCTTTCATTAGTTCCGCTGATCGCGTTCCTCCCTCCTTGTTTACATGTGCCTTGGCTGCTATGTTGTCTGTTAGTACGAGGACGTGCCTCCTTGTTACTAGGTGTGAGAAATGACGAAGGGCCAGGTGGATGGCCCGGAGCTCTAGCCAGTTGATGCTGTGTGACAGGTCCTTCTGTCCCCACTGGCCCTGTGCTATCTGGCTTCCCAGGTGCGCTCCCCAACCGAACAGGCTCGAGTCCGTCGTGAGTGTGACCCTGTTCGGTTCCCTGAATATGCTCCCCCTGAGTGTCGTGGGGGATAGCCACCATTCTAGTGATCTCATCACCTGTGCTGGTACCAGCACTCTCCTGTTGGAAGTGCTGAGGTTCCTCCTCTGGTAGGGTAGGAGGAACCACTGCAACTCCCTTGAGTGGAGCCTTGCCCATGGGATGATGCCCATGCAAGATATCATCTTTCCCAGGAGCTTCGAGAGCTGTATCAAGGGCACTCTCTTGATCTTTTGAATTTGGTGAATCAGCTTGGATATGCTGATCCGTCGCTCCTGGGACAGGTATACCCTGCACTGTGACGTGTCTATCACCGCTCCTAGGTGTTGCAGCCTCCTTGAGGGGATGAGGTGGCTCTTGCTTAAATTGACCGAGAATCCATGCCCCTGTAGGGTTCGGATTGTGGTCTTGAGGTCTGCCCTTGCTTGTTCCTGAGATCTGGACTGAATCAAGATGTCGTCCAGATAAAACTGTACGCGAACCGGCATCAGCCTGAGATGGGCTGCTATTACAGCTAGGGTCTTGGTAAATACCCTTGGTGCTGAAGATAGTCCGAAGGGTAAGGCCCTGTATTGGTAATGTCGGCCCGCGTAGGTAAATCTGAGGAATTTCCGGTAGCTGGGATGGATGGGAATGTGTAGGTACGCCTCTGTGAGATCTATTGAGGATAATAGATCGTCTTCCCTGACGCTGGCTAGGATGGATTTCAATGAGTGCATCTTGAACTTCCTGTACTTTATGAAATGATTCAGGCCCTTCAGGTCCAATATTGCTCTCCACCCTCCTGATGTCTTTGGAATAACGAAGAGGATGGAATAAAATCCTCTTCCCTCCTCTTCCTTTGGTACCCTCTCTATGGCTTGAATTGACAGGAGGTGAGCTATGGCCGAAGTTATCAGCCTCGTCTTGTGTACCTTTCTGGAGATGGGGCATCTGATGAACCGGTTTGGTGGGGGAGAACAAAAGTCTAAGGTCAGGCCATGCCTGATCGTTTCCAAGACCCAGGCGTCGGTGGTGGTCTGCTCCCAGACCTCGATGAAGTTTCCTAACCGACCCCCGATGGGAGTGTCCTGTTTGGCGTCACTTGGTACGCTTAAAGGATCTGCCTCCCGCTCCCCTATATGGGCGTCTGGACTGGAACTGGCCTCTGGCTCCCGGGCTTTGGCGATCCTGGGTTCGATCCTGTCTCGGATAGAAGGATCGTGAGCCTCTGGGCCAGTCCCAGGATTGCCCTGATCGAAAGGGCTGTCTCCATTCCCAGGGGCTTCCTGGGCGGAAGCCCTGTCTCCGGAAATCCTGACTGCCTCTCCTGTCTAACTTCTTTGATGGGTGTACTAGGATTTTTTTCTTGTCTCTGCCTTCGCTGACATGTGGGTCCAGTATGGACCCAAATAAGGCTTCTCCACTGTACTTGGACGTCGATAGACGCCATTTGGACCTCAGGTCTGTCTTCCAATTTTTGAGCCACAGTAGCCTACGCGAGGCCACTGTGGCCGCAATGGATCTTGCCGCATACTTTGGTGCGTACAGTGAAGCGTCAGACACGAATTGAGAGGCCGCGAGGAGCTTGGCCAATGTTTGGTGTACTCTGACCTGGTCTGGAGGCACCGTGCCCTGCAGTTCCCTCAGCCACATGATACAGGCCCTCGCGAAGAATGATGATGAAGTGGCTGCTCTGGCCGCCCAGGCTGCAGCCATGTGGGAACGACGGAGGGAGTGTTCAAATTTCTTCTCCTCAGGTTTCAAGACCTCCGCCAGGTCTCCTGGAATCGCGGAGGTAGAGAATAATGAGATCAAGGGGTTATCTACAGTAGGAACCTCTAGCATGTTCGAGAAGGAGGGAGATAGGTTGAAGAGCTTTCTTTCCGCGCTATTAGGTGCCGGCGGGCTTGCAAGTGATGACCATTGTTCCTCCAGCGTGGTCATAAAGACCTCCGGACAAGGAATGTACTTATCCTGTGGAACCTTTTTGGCAAATAGAGGATTGGCCTCCCTGCTTGTGGAGGGCTTTTCATCCTGTACTGATGTTAGACTGACCGTGGAAACTGCCTTTATCAGGAGTGATTTTAAGAGCGCTGGGTTAAAGAGGCCAGAGCTCGTCGCCTGCTCAGGTGCGGTCTCCTCATCCTCCGAGAGGGGCATGTCTGACATGTCAAGGTCTACTGAGTCACCCTCTCCAAGTTGAGAGGAAGTCTCAGAGATGTTGGTAGGGGGTGGCCTAGCTCGCCCCTTACGGGGTGTGTGAAAAGCCACTTGCCCCTTAGAAGCCATGAACTGGGAGAATGCGTCCTGCATGAATGCCTGAAATTGTGCCGACCATATGTTCTCCTGCGCTTTGTCTCTGGGTTGAGGCGCTGGGGTGTGGTCAGGTGAAGAATCTGGTGAGGAGAGAGTGGAGGAATCTAACTGTTCAGTTTCCCCAGGAGGAGACCAGGTCTTGAGCACTTCCTCGGCAGTAGGTTCTGTGCTGGGTGCCACCACTGGGACAGGGGAAACCGGATTTGTCCCATTGGCATTGGTTCTCTGTGCCCTGCTAATTTGTCTTTCTAAAGCCAAATGTCTCCTCAAAGCCTCTCGCTCAGCCGTTTTAGACTGTCCCTTCTGAGTAAGGTGCTTTGTTTTAGCCTTCTTCTTCCCCCCCCACCTCTGATTCAGAGGATCTGCGTTTTTGTTGTTGCTGTGGGGGGGACAATTGAGGGACCTGTGTGACTGAATACGAGACATTGTCTGCCATTGTGCCAGACACCCCGAGTAGGCAATGCCTGGAATGGGGGACTGAGGTACGCAGATCAGATGCAGATGCTTGGGGCTGTGCCCTCTTCTGCCTATACAAACAATGGCCGGACAGACAGGATTCTTTGGACAGAAGATCCTGCAAGGCAGTGACTAAAGGTCACTATAGGAACAGTCAGGGAAAAATATTCCTCCTCACCTCCTCACCTAGTCCAGACAAGAGCAGTTTATATCTCTCTCTCCCCCAGTCTGTGGCTGTAGCAGCAGACCACGATCAGAACGGTTCTCTTCCTTTTCCCTTTTCCTTCCTCTTGCCTCAATTTCTTGAGGAACCTCAGATCCTTGCCTAAAGGTATCCCTTTTTTGTCTGCAGGGAAATGGAGTCCGGGTAGTAGCCCCACCCCCAAGGGAAAATACGGCGGGAGATCCGCTTGTTCAAAATGGCGAATGGGAGGAAGCCACGCCTCCCAAAGGTAGTCCGGGAAGCCACGCGGTTTAAACAATGGCGGATCCTTGAATTCAACAGTAAGGAAGACTCCTTGGGTTTTAAGGGGGCTGCGCCTCTCCTCTGAGGGAAGGAAACAGCGTTAAGGCTCTGTTCTAGTCAGGGCTGCTTTTCGCGCCGCTCAGCTGATCGATGCCGAGCGGCGCCGCGGTTTGCCGCTTCCCGCGCGGCTCAGCTGTTTCACGCTGAGCGGCACCTCGGTTCTGTCGGCCAAGCCGAGCCGGCCACTCAGCTGTTTGTCGGATCGGAGGGCGACGAACAACCCGGTGGGATCCCCGCGCCAAACAGCTGCTCGGCGGGCCGGATATCGACGAGCGATCCGGCCCCGTTCCAAGCCTCCCCTGCTAGCCGCCCTGACGCCCCACTCACAACTCCGCCGATCCTGGCTGTGCCTTTTAAGTTCTATCAGCTGCCAGAGAGCTTTTCATTCAAATGGAAGGAAGAGGATTCCTTTCTTTTTCTTTTGGGATAAATTCCTATTGTTCTGAGAGCTGCTTCTCGCACTTCTACCAGGCTTCGAGACTGAGTCAAAACTGGGGTCACACGCAGAGGAAGAGGTGTGGCCGAAGTTTTTACCCAGTCTGCCAGGCAGGAAGGCCGTCATAGAACCCATTCATTGGACTCTACAGCCATCCTGCTGGAGAATAAAATAACAAAAACGTGCTTCCTCCAACTCACCTGGGAAGTGATGACGCAATGAGGATTCAACGTTACGCCTTCCTTCACCTCTGCCTCGTCACAAACGATGGACCGATAGATTTTTACACCGTCTCCTATATGGACGTCATTCCACAGGAAAGCCCAGTCCAGAAGGACGCCGTTACCTGATCGGTACCCGAAAACACAAACCATCACTTTATGCCATCCTCATCCAGGTGTCTGCTTACAATACATAAGCTAGTTGTGTCTATTCACTGTCCCATGGCGTAATGTGGTTTGTTTTTCCTTTGCATTAAGTCCTACAGCTCAGAAGCCATGATGTAGGTGGTTCTCCATTTACAATCGTTCGTTTTAGTGACCGTTCCAAGTTACAACTGCACTGGCTTATGACCGGCTTTCACACTTCCAACCACTGTAGCCTCCCAATAGTCACATGATCAAAATTTGGGTGCTGGCTAGCTGACATGTATTTATGATAGTTACACTATCCGGGGGGGGGGGTCACATGATCACCATGTGTAAGCTTCCCAGCCAGCTTCCAACAAGCCAAGTTAATGAAAAGCCAGATTCACTTAACTCCTCTCTGGCTTAGCAATACTCAATCAAGAGAGCCTCACTTTACATGTGATGGGGAAGACCTGGATTCAAATCAATCGTTTACCCTATGTAGTCTGTGTCTAGACCGGGGTAGGCAACCTTGGCTCTTTTATGACTCGTAAACTTCAACTCCCAGAATTGGGAGTTGGAGTCCATGAGTCATAAAAGAGCCAAGGTTGCCTAACCCTGGTCTAGACTACTGCAAGCCATCCTAACATTCTCTTCCTGTCTGGTTTTGCCTCTGAAGTCAATCAGCTGCAAATTTCTCTCCAGTAAATTAGCAACTGCACAAAATCTGGCGGGAATGGTGGTCTTCATATTTTGCATCACCATCCCTCAGGGTTCAACAATTACAGGTAATCCTCGGCTTACGATGCTTCACTTAGTGCCTATTCCAAGTTACAACGGCATCGAACAGTGAGTTATGACCCTTTTTCATACGATTGCAGTATCTCTGCGGTCACATGATCAAAATTTGCACGCTCGGCAACTGGTCCATATTTATGACGGTTGCAGTGTGCCCCGGGGTCACGTGATCCCCTTTGGCGATTTTCCGACAAGCAAAGCCAATGGGGGAAGCCAGATTCACTTAACGACCGGGTTACTGACTAAACACCTGCAGTGATCCACTTAACTGAGGTGAGAAAGGTCGTAAAATGGGACAAAACACACAACAAATGTCTTGCTTGACCACAGAAATATGGGGCTCAGTTGTGGTCATAAGTTGAGGACCACCTGTATTAAGACTTCTTTCCGTCATGTTTCCTGTACTGGCACTCCAAGCGTGACAAAGGTCTCTTCAGGCCAAACTGCCCCCTATTTTGCGGGCATCAGAACTTACCTATTTTGCAATTGGGCCCAATGACGCTGTTGGTTATGCAACATTTTGTGCCCACCGATGTTCCTTGCCCCACGAGTACGTTCTCTTCCAGCACGCTCTCATGGCCCAGACTAACTTCAGCACCCCGGTAAATATTGTGGCGGGAATGAGTGCAACTTTGCTTCCCGTTGATGAAGTTCATCTCTGGGGTTATGGGATAGACACAACGTTGCAGAATGTCTGAGGACACTGACTCGTACATCGACAAATTGGAAACAGAGGCACCGTATTCTTCTGAGGTCACATACATATGGATCTGGTTCCCAAGGACCTGAGGAACAGAGAAGGGCTATTAGGAAAGACCTCAAACTTTCTGGTATTCTATGATTCTGTAAGGGTCTTCTGCTCGAGCAGGGGGTTGGACTAGATGGCCTTCTGAAGTCCCTTCCAACCCTTCCACTGATTGTTCTGTCAGGAATATTCTCCTTGGGATGTCATCTGGACCGTTACAAGTAGTCCAAGACTTACAACTATTTGCTTAGTGGCCGTTCAAAGTTACAACGGCACTGAAAAATGGATAATAATAATAAAGTTGGAAGGGACCTTGGAGGTCATCTAGTTCAACCCCCTGCTGAGGCAGGAAACCCTATACCATTTCGGACAAATGGCTGTCCAGTCTCTTCTTAAAAACTTCCAGTGTTGGAGCATTTACTGCTTCTGGAGGCAGGTTGTTCCACTAGTTAATTGTTCTCACTGTCAGGAAGTTTCTCCTTAATTCTAGGTTGCTTCTCTCCTTGATTAGTTTCCATCCGTTACATCTTGTCCTGCCTTCAAATGCTTTGGAGAATAGCTTGACTCCCTTTTCTTTGGAGCAGCCCCTGAGATCTTTATTGTCTTAATGTTTCACCTTGATGCTTTTGTCAATTGCAAGCAGCCTAGAATCACCTCTATGTGAAATGGGTGGCATGTAAGTTTAATAAATACATAAATTTATAATTTTTGTGCTATTGTGGTGGCCTGCAGGTTTAATGAATTATTACTGTTATTATTAAGGTGTCTTAGCTTCCGCAAATCATCAGGAATCAGTAAGAATCTGGTCTGGAATTTGGGTTTTTAAGAAAAGACTGGACAGCCATTTGTCTGAAATGGTATAGGGTTTCCTGCCTGAGCAGGGGTTGGACTAGATGACCTCCAAGGTCCCTTCCAACAACAACTTTCTTCTTCTTCTTCTTCTTCTTCTTCTTCTTCTTCTTCTTCTTCTTCTTCTTCTTCTTCTTCTTCTTCTTCTTCTTCTTCTTCTTCTTCTTCTTCTTATTATTATTATTATTATTATTATTATTATTATTATTATTCCCACTACATATTTACCTCTTCATTCACCAACAGGCCACGTACAAAGTCATCCCGAGTTTGATAATCAAAATTATCTGTAAACAGCTCGGTCACCTACCAGGGAAGAACAAAAAAGGTTGTTTTTTTAATACAACTTTTAATGTTATAACTGTGTCTGAAACAAGAGCGTCTCAATCTCTGGCACGAAGAACTATGAATGTGTCTCATCCAAAGTATAGACTGAAGTGCCAAAAAAGGAACACGGAGGGCTCCAGAGGGAGTCCTCAATTTAGAATACTTCATTTAGCGCCCAAAGTTAACAGCGGCACCAAAAAAAATGACTCACGACTCTTTTTCATACTTACAACCATTTCAGCATTCCCCCTGGTGATATGATCAAAAACGGCAGCTGGCACGTGTTTACGAGGGTTGTGGTGTCCTGGAGTCATCCACCCAACCATGGTTAAGCAAATTATAATTTGGCATGATGAGAGAATACAAGCAAGGTCTGCTCGATGCTTTTCGTACCACATACCTGGGGAGAACAGATGCTAATATGGCAGTCTAGCAAATCGTTCCGCACTTGCACTTCTTCGACGTGGCTGTGAAACAAGCTCTAGAAGAAACAAACGAACAAAAAAATACAGCAAAGACCTACCTATATTCATTCGCTTCCAAAGCTACTCTCTGCTAGCTGGGAATGGTTCTCTTGAAGAGACTAAAGCAGGGCTTTTCAACCAGTGGTACGGGGACCACCTGTGGTATATTGGCACCTGGCAGGTGGTACGTGACCATTCTAGAAAAGTGGTAGCAGGGGAGGGGAATGAGCTGAACCAGTGGCAGCACCGCACAAGCCTGAGTGAGAGATGACTCGAGCTGCAGGGCTGTCAGGGCTCAGCGGAAGCGCCAGGCTCCAGCTGGAAGTCGGCGCTGATCCTGGCGCTTCTGCTGAGCGCAAAAGTGCCAATCAGCTGGAATGTTGCAGCATCTCCAGGGTCTTGTGATTTACATTCAGATGCTTGGCAACTGATTCATATTTATGACGGTCACAGTGTCCCAGGGTCATGTGAAGTGACCAAAACCTGCTGCAACCACCCAGCAGACTGGGGGAATAAAAACCAAACACCCCCCCCCACCCCACCCTCGCTGCCAATCCTCAACAGAAATGCTCACAACAATGAAAACCTCGGACAGGAAGAAGAGCGCCGCCGGGTGGGCAGGCAGGTGTCTTGCTCGGCTGTGCCTTGGGGAGCACTTTTTTCAGTGCCATTGTAACTTCGACTACCTGTATGTTATAACATTTTTCCTTTTTTTTTTTTTTGGTCATCAAGTTTTTGACATCTTGCTAGGCGACTGGTGGTACTCAGATATTGCCATATCCTAAAAGTGGTAGGATGGGTGAAAAGATTGAAAAGCCCTGGACTAGAGCAGAGCACGGGGGGGGGGGGGAATCACACGACAGCTACCCAGGGCAATAGCAATTATATACTGCTTCGTAGTGCTTTACAGCCCCTCTTTAAACGGTTTACAGAGTCAGCCTCTTTGCCCCCAAAAATCTGGGTGCTCATTTTACCGACCTCGGAAGGATGGAAGGCTGAGTCAACCTTGAGCAGGTATGGATCGAACTGCTGGCTGTGGGCAGTGAATTAACCTGCAATACTGCATTGTTAATCATGGCAGGCAGGCAGAAAGGAGGATGCAAAGAAGAAGAGAGGGAGGGAGGGAGAGAGAGAGAGAGAGAGAGAGAGAGAGAGAGAGAGAGAGAGAGAGAGAGAGAGAGAGAGAGAGAAGAGAGAGAGAGGATGCAAAGAAAAAGAGAGGGAGGCAGGAAGGAAGAATAGCAATAGCACTTAGACTTATATACCGCTCCAAGGTCCTTTCCAACTTTATTATTATTATGAGTATCTGCTTTATCTCCTCCTTTATATGGGCTTGTCTAACAAAATGGAGAATCAGTTTCACTTATAAAATCGTTTGTTAGTACTTGCATTCAAGCTGTCCCAAGAGGACAGTGAACCAAAAACCAAGCTTGCTACCTCTTAAAAGTACATGTTTATATTAATCCATCCATTAGTCCTACAGTGAGCATTGACAATCCAAGCCTGATCTAGAATGAACTGCCCAAGGCCACCATCCAAACCGAATTGATAACCAATTCCTAATCTATTAATACAGTTGGAACCTCAGTACTTGTTGCTAATTGGGTCCAGGAGATGATGAGTACAGAGAAATGACAAGCACCAAACAAAATTTTCCCATAAGGAATAATATAAAAAACCTGAATGCGTTCTCAAACCACATTTTAAGCCACTGTGTAAAAAAGATAGGCTTTGTATATCATTGCTTTACATGAGAAATAAACCTAAAAATTAATAAACACTTAAATAAAATAAAAACATTTCATCTGTACTGATGAGGGGAAATAAAGGTGCAAAAATACACAAAATGACCACAGAGGCTAAGATAAGATGGCGTGATTCCAGCTATTTCGGCTGGAAAGTGGAGCGCGTCACAAGGCAACCAACCCCAACAATTTCTATCTTGCATGCAGCGTAACAAATGAGTATCGGGACAAAGTTTTCCTGTCAAAATGCAAATTCAACGAGTATTAAAGCAGCCAAGTACCAAGGTATGACTATACTGGGCCTTGAAAGGAACCGTGCTGTTTTCCTAGCTATTAATTCAGTGTATCTCAAGCCAATTTAAGATGTGTGGATTTCAACTCCCAGCTTTGCTAGCTGGGGAATTCTGGGAATTGAAGTACATGTATGTTAATATGGTTTTTTTTTTCTCATCCTTGTCAGCTTTAAGACGTGCATCCTCTTAAACCAGGGGTCTTCAAACTTGGCCCTTTTATGACTTGTGGACTTCAACTCCCAAAATTCCTCAGCCAGGCACGCGTGCCTGGCTGAGGAATTCTGGGAGTTGAAGTCCAGAAGTCATAAAAGGGCCAAGTATGAAGACCCCTGTCTTAAACTTATAGCAAAACTGGCTGCTTGTTTTCTAGCTTCCTGGTTCACACACCATGGGAAAACTGAAGTGCTTCAGTCCTTGCGTCCTCTGATAGTGGAGCACGCGTTTCGTAGCGCTGTCCATAACCAGGATAATATCGTCCTCCGGACATCGAGCCCGATGTCCTGGCGAACACTCTTGAAATATCATTGTCATTACAGACACATTCTTCTCCAGCTTACGCCGTGTCCTGTACCAGGAGAGAGAGAGAAGATTTTTTTAAAAAATGATAATAAAATACACTTACAGATAAGATGATAGCGCATCATTCCTGCCAGAAGGGCTCTATGGAGATAGTCCTGGACTTACAACAGTTCATCCAGCGACCGTTTGTCGTTACAACGGGACTGAAAAAAGTGACTTTTGACCTTTTTTTCACATTTATACCCATTGTGGCATCTCCATGGTCAGGGGTAGGCAACCTTGGCTCTTTTATGATTCGTGGACTTCAACTCCCAGAATTCCTGAGCCAGCATGGGGAAACTGTGGCCCCTTCATGACTGGTGGACTTCAACTCCCAGAATTCCTGAGCCAACATGGGGGAACTGTGGCCCCTTCGTGACTGGTGGACTTCAACTCCCAGAATTCCTGAGCCAGCCATGCTGAGGGGAAAGGGAAAGGTTTCCAAGCTGAGCCAGGCTGGCTTAGGAATTCTGGGAGCTGAAGTCCATGAGTCATAAAAGAGCCAAGGTTGCCTACCCCTGTCCATGGTCATATGATTGAAACTCAGAGGCTTGGCCACTGACTCATATTTACAGACAGTTGCAGCTTGGCCACCGACTCATCTTTATGACGCCATAAAGATGAATCGAAGGCCAAGCCTCTGAATTTCCTACGGTCCCATTTTGGCCCCTTTCTATGCGAGCCAAGTCAATGGGGAAGCCGGATTCGCTGAACGACCATGCTGCTAACTGGACAACTGCAGTGATTCACTTAACAACGGTCGCAGAATGAGGCAAAATCCACTCAACAACGCTTAGCGACAGAAATGCTGGGTTCCGTTGCGGCTGTAGTTCGAGGGCTGCTTGTCCCTTTCTCCTGAATACCCACCTGTGTTCCTGTAAAGCGGCAGAAATATTAATATTGGACACCACATCCCCAGAGACCAGGATAAAGTCAGAACGAACGAGACACTTGGTGTCAACTTCGCGCAACACGTCGCCGAGGGAACGATACAGGTCTGAGATGACAAACCGCACAATGTTAGGCGATGTCGGGCGGCACCACTTAGAGTTTCTGAGGAGAAAAAAAGTCAGAGACAGAAACAACTGAATGAGAACCTCTGTAAAAAATGACTTGCTGGCTTTTTTTGATGAGTATATAAATATACAGGCAGCCCTTGACTTAACGCTCCTTTTAGTGACCATTGTTCAAAGTTACAACGGCACTGAAAAAATGCGATTTTTGACCATTTTTCACAGTTACGAGTTTTGCAGCATCCTCCATGGTCATGTGCTCAAAATTCAGACGCATGGCCATTGATTCATATTTATGACCGTGACTGCGTCCCGGGGTCGTTGTGATCCCCTTTGGCGACCTTCTGACAAACCAAGTCAATGGGGGAAGCCAGGTTCACGTAACAACCCGGCTACCAACTTATCAACGGCAACGATTCACTTAACAAGTGTGGTAAGCAGAGTCACAAAATGGGGCAAAACTCACTTAAATGTCTCACTGAACAACAGAACTTTTGGGCTCGGATGTGGTTGTTGAGTTGAGGACTACCTGCGAATGACATCATGAAGCAGACAGGATCTGAAACACTGATACTGACACAGGGGTAACTGAGGTTCAAAGCCAACTCTAATAGCTGATAAGGAAAAAAACAGTATGAAATAACTTCACAAGTTACCAAAAATTATGGTTTCAGAAGTGATTCCATAGCTATTTAGAATTCTTCCCCCTATAGCAGGGGTGGGCAACCTTGGCTCTTTTATGACTCGTGGACTTCAACTCCCAGGATTCCTGAGCCAGCATGGCTCAGCTTGGAAACCTCTCCCTCTCCCCTCAGTATGGCTGGCTTAGGAATTCTGGGAGCTGAAGTCCACGAGTCATAAAAGGGCCAAGTTTGAAGACCCCTGGTTTAGTGTACAGGCCTGGGGTAGACAACTTGGCTCTTTTATGACTGGTGGACTTCAACTCCCAGAATTCCTGAGGCAGCATGGCTCAGCTTGGAAACCTCTCCCTTTCCCCTCAGCGTGGCTGGCTCAGGAATTCTGGGAGTTGAAGTCCACAAGTCATAAAAGGGCCAAGTTTGAAGACCCCCCCCCTCCGAGTAGAAGGTCGCCATGGGTTATTTGTAGAAATAATAATGGTGAGGTATAAATAAATAAATAAATAACCGCAAGGCCCCAGGGTCTCAATTTTAACAGATTGGCGTGCCTTTAAAGCAGGATATCAAAGATGAAAATTCGAAAGTTCTAAAAAAGCTGGCTATATTTAAACTAAACAAAGTAGGGCAGATTGAGTAGGGGCTTGTTCTCAACCGTTCCACAGAACAAGTCTAGAAATGGCGAATGAGTGGCAACGGAGCAGACCGTGTCTAAAGGTGAAACCTCCCTTAATGGCGAGAAGAAACTTTGATATTGGGAAAGAAGGAGGGTGGATCTGTTCCAAAGTTAAAGGTCTCCTCCGCTGGAAGGATCTAGGACGGACAGTTGACAGGGATGCTGGAGCTGCAAAGTTTGCACGGAGTGAAGACAAACCCTATGTGACCCACAAGGCCCTTGTAACTTCAAACAGTCACTAAACAAATGAATTTAGTCGAGGACTGCCTGTATAATTACAGTATGTCCGTATCCAGATGTCCGTCTGCCTCTTTCTGGTGCCTATCCCAAAAGGCTATTTCACTCTCTGCGCTTGGTTATTTTCTTGCAGCCATTTCATTACCCAAACCTAGACTAGCACTGATGATGTTCCCTAGTTGGATCATGACAGGCCTGCAAGGAAACAAGCTCAGAGAGCACCAAGGACCCCACAGTCCTCCCCCTCCTCTTCTTCCTCTCCCTCCTCCTCCTCCTCCTCCTCCCCTCCATAAACCTTCTAGCACTGATGGTGTTGCTCAGTTGGGTCATGAAACGTCTGCAAGAAAACCACCAAGCTCAGAGAGCACCAAGGTCCCCTCAATTCCACCCTGAGCTACAGACGTTCTCCTTTATTGGCCTTGCTCGGTTACGTCTATCTGACAACCGCCATCCCTCTGTCCACAGCCCCCTCAAACTCCGAGAGACCAAAGGCATAAAAAGGGAAGAAGCCCTTTCCGGGAAGAGACGGCGAAAATGGCTGCTCTTACTGTAAATGCTCCTTGATCTCTGCGGACTTCCAGCAGCAAAAGACGAAGGTTTCCTCCACCCCGGTGGCAGTGAGGAATTCCAGGGTGTAATCTATCATGGCCACGTTTGCCAGAGGAATCAGAGCCTATGGAAGCAAAGAAAAGTCAGCCGCAGCAAAAAAACCAAAAAACCCCACAATCTACAGCTCTGCTTACAGCTAAGAGTCACACAATCCTTCTAAGGAAATGACAAGCAGCACGGGAAATACCGTATTTCAGTGGTGGCGAACCTATGGCACGCGTGCCAGAGGCGGCACTCAGAGCCCTCTCTGTGGGCACGTGCACCATGCCTCGGAGATGACAACCGACCCTCTTCAACCAACCGCCTGCTAACTCACCGAGGTCTCACAGGGCCGGATGCATCCCAGCATGGCTGGTTTCCTTCTTCCTCCGTCCCATCCCTCCTGGCCTCGCATGCTCTCCTTTTCCCGGGCACAACCCACTGCATCGTCTCCTCAGCTGTCGGCCGTCCGTCCAGCTCAGAGGCGGCTACTCTGAGCTGCTGGAGGCGGGCTGCAGAGCTGCTGACAGACACTGTCGGCCCCCATGCGCTCGCTGGCCTGTGTGAGCGAGGGCCGATGGTGTCAGGCATCAGCCACCCCGGCCCCTGCCTCACCTTGCTCTGCGACAATGGCACCCCCACCCTGCCTCGCCTTACCTCGCCTCACCCTGCAGGACGAGCCTCCTGCCCACTGCCCCATCTGCCAGAGACCCCATGGATCTCCCCCAACCTTGCCCAGCCCCCACAGGCATCCCTCCCCATGATCAACATCAAGGTGACCATGCCCACCTTGGCCACACCCACCCAGTGGGCCACACCCACCTGGCACCCGGCGATAAATAAGTGGGTTTTGGGTTGCAGTTTGGGCACTCGGTCTCTAAAAGGTTCGCCATCACTGCCGTATTCATGAAGCACGCGTGGCCTTCTTAAAAATAGCAGCCACGGGAGAAAAATATTAGAAATTGGACCACAACCAGGGAACTGCCTTAAGCCAGAGATAGAACTGGTGCTCCTGTTAAATGCTTTGGCTGATGTCCAAAGCATTTAAAACAGGGGTCCCCAACCTGTGGGCTGTGGTCCACTACCGGCCTGTGGGCTGTTGGCCACTAGGCTGCGTGAGTGGCTGGCCAAGGTGTAGGTGTGTGCGCGCTTGCAACCCCACTTGCGCTAGCATCGTGGCGTCATGCTGCTGCTAGTGATGCCGCAAGCTTTGTGCGGATGCTAACATCACTGCACGCGCGCACCCCCCTACACACTCGCGCTAGCCTAGGGGCATCGTGCAGGCGCTATCATCGCTGTGAGCGCACACTCCCCCCACTCCAAGGCATTAACATTGCAGCATTGCGTCGTGTGCACAAGCGCAGCCCCTTTGTGCGCACGGGGCCCCATTTGTGCATGCGCACACAAAGGCGCCTCCACCATCCCCGCCCCAGGCCACCAACCCAGAAAACGTTAAGTCCTCAACTAATGACCACAACGGAGCCAAAAGTTTCTGTTGCTGAGATAATTGTTAAGTGAATTTCACCCCATTTTATGACCTTTCTTGCCACAGTTGTTAAGTGAAACACTTGGTAAATTAGTAACAGGGTTGTTAAGTGAATCTGGCTTCCCCACTGATTTTGCTTGTCAGAAGATCATAAAGAGTGATCAATAGTAGTAAGTAGTAATAGTAGTGAGTAGTAAGGACAATGACTTAAATGCGAGCCAGCCGTGGGCTGCAGCTGCCAAAAAAGCCAACACAGTGCTAGGATGCATCAACCGAGGGATAGAATCAAGATCACGTGAAGTGTTAATACCACTTTACAAGGCCTTGGTAAGACCACACTTGGAATATAATGTAAAAAAGATGTTGAGATTCTAGAAAGAGTATAGAGAAGAGCAACAAAGATGATTAGGGGACTGGAGGCTAAAGCATATAAGGAACGGCTGCTGGAATTGGGTATGTCCAGTTTAATGAAGAGAAGGACGAGGGGGGACATGATAGCAGTGTTCCAATACCTCAGGGGCTGCCCCAAAGAAGATGGAGTCAAGCTCTTCTCCAAAGCGCCTGAAGGCAGGACGAGAAGCAACGGATGGAACTAATCAAGGAGAGAAGCAACCTAGAACTAAGGAGAAACTTCCTGACAGTTAGAAGAATTCACCAGTGGAACAATCTGCCTCCAGAAGTGGTGAATGCTCCAACACTGGAGGTTTTTAAGAAGAGACTGGACAGCCATTTGTCTGAAATGGTATAGGGTTTCCTGCCTGAGCAATGGGTTGGACTAGATGACCTCCAAGGTCCCTTCCAGCCCTGTGATTCTATGATTCTGAGATAAGTAAATAAGATATATGACAGCTTGCCTTAAGACATTGTGGGTACTCCCTCACTGGAGGCTGTCAAGAAGAGACTGGAAAGCCACCTGTCTGAAATGGCATAGGGCAGTGATGGCGAACCTTTTAGGGACCGAGTGCCCAAACTGCAGCCCAAAACCCACTTATGCATCGTCGGGTGCTGGGTGGGTGTGGCCCAATTGGGTGGGTGTGGCCCATTGGGTGGGCGTGGCTACGGTGGTAACGGCAGACTGGGTGGGACTAAAAAATTCAATCAATCAATTCCAACTTTGCAAGATCTTTTTTTTCCCCCCCGCAAGAAGTTGAAATTGACTCATTGATTGAACCTTTTTTTTTTTTTTTTTTGCACACGGCGGCGGAGGCCTAAAGCGAAAAGGTTTTATAAAACCCAGCTGAAGGCCTAGGACTGGGGTGACGGAGCGCGTGCCCACAGAGAGGGCTCTGAGTGCCGCCTCTGGCACCCGTGCCATAGGTTTGCCACCACTGGCATCGGGGCTCCTGCTTGAGCAGGGGGTTGGACTAGATGACCTCCAAGGTCCCTTCCAGGTCTATTCTGATTACTGGTTTATTACGGCCAGTCTCTCTCCTGACTAGAGAACTGCATTCTGGCATCTAGACTGTTGCAGGACTAGAGAGACTCAGGTTGAAGTTTAAAATTTTTGTTCCAAGCCTCCCTTGCTACTTTTCTGGAACCTGATCTCAAAAGCCAAGGGAGGCCATTGGCAAGGAAAATGCTCCCACCTCTCACTGAGGCCAAGATCCAGCTTGGCACAACAGCATCCCAACGTAGGCCGGCCTAAATTCATTTTCAGACTTTGGCGCAGTGACACTTCCTTGATGCAACCACGTTCAGCCTTGTTGCACCTTTTTATTACTGCAGTTTTGTGATAAGAATCATACAACGATACGTCCCAGGATAGATCCAGGAACAACTCTTGGGGTTATCAGTCCAACCAGAGAAACAAATTACGGGATCATCCTTACTCTGAACAGGCGACACCGTCCTGACAATCCAGAAACCACAGCTTCAACTATCCGCCTAGGTCAGAGGTAGGCAACCTGGGCTCTTTTATGACTCGTGGACTTCAACTCCCAGAATTCCTGAGCCAGCATGGCTCAGCTTGGAAACCTCTCCCTTGCCCCTCAGCATGGCTGGCTCAGGAATTCTGGGAGTTGAAGTCCACCAGTCATAAAAGAGCCAAGGTTGCCTACCTAGGCCTAGGCCGCTTCATGACTCATGGACTTCAACTCCCAGAATTCCTGAGCCAGCATGGGGGAACTATGGCCCCTTCATGACTGGCGGACTTCAACTCCCAGAATTCCTGAGCCAGCATGGGGGAACTATGGCCCCTTCATGACTTCTGGACTTCAACTCCCAGAACTCCTGAGCCAGCATGGGGGAACTAGTGCCCCTTCATGACTCATGGACTTCAACTCCCAGAATTCCTGAGCCAGCATGGGGGAACTATGGCCCCTTCATGACTTGCGGACTTCAACTCCCAGAATTCCTCAGCCAGCATGGGGGAACTATGGCCCCTTCATGACTCATGGACTTCAACTCCCAGAATTCCTCAGCCAGCATGGGGAAACTATGGCCCCTTCATGACTCATGGTCTTCAACTCCCAGAATTCCTGAGCCAGCATGGCTCAGCTTAGAAACCTGTCCCTTTCCCCTCAGCATGCCTGGCTCAGGAATTCTGGGAGTTGGAGTCCACGAATCATAAAGCAGCCAAGGCTGCCTACCCCTGAGCTAGGCCAGACAGCCTATTAATCACACTCCAATAAAGCTTGGCTCCTGGCCTGTTGGGTCCTTGGAGACATTTGTGTACTTGTTTTGGCAACAAGACAAGAGTTGGCCACTGCTGTCACAGGCACTTGTTTTCGACATTCTAGTCTGGCCTACAGGTCTAGAATTTTCTCTTGAACGTTCCCAAGTGAGCCCAGCCCTATTTATCTTCCAGGCACAGACAGGGCTAGCCAGGTGCTACTGCCTGATGAGACACAGCTTATAGGTTGATCCCTTTTTTTCTGCAGCGACAAAGGGGTAATTTCCACATTCTCCTTGTGATGAATATAATAACAGCTGCCACAACATTGTCATTTAAAGATGCTATGGTGATTGGGTAGAAACACACCCACACACCAATGCACAGAAATGAAGAGCATTCTTAAAACAAAAATCTAGCCATAGTCTGGAGTCAATATTTATTTTTGTTCTCCATGGGATGTCATCCGGACCGTTAAAAGTGGTCCAAGACTTGTGAATTTGTGAATTCCTCACTCACGAATCAAAATGCTGTGGTGTTCAATACCACAGTAAACGACGTTTTTCAGCAGACTGAGGATCTGTATAATGAAATGAAGTGGCAGAGAAAAATTAGGAGTTAAGTACGGTGTTTGTAAGGGTTCGTCTTGTTTGATGGTTACTCTGAAGAGATCTAGTGCCTAGTCTCTAACTTTGGGGAAAGTCCTGTTGTAAAGGTTCTGCTTTATCCATTTATTAACCATAAAAAACAAGATAGAGAACACAGAATAACAAATTAAGAAACACATTAATGGCCACATTAAAACAAAGGATCAATGTAGATTTGACGTCAAGCCTTAGGTTATCTATAAATTAGAATCCAACCCATGTTTTCTCTTTCCAAACAAGTCAAGCAAACCATCTTTTTTTTAAAGTTACTTATATGCTTCACTTCACTTCAGGAATTCACAGCCATTTGCTTAGTGGCCGTTCAAAGTTACAACGGCACT